CCTCGATGGCACGAGAACTCGTTGTGTTTCGTTCACTGTCTTATGATGAAGTGTCTTGAGATTGCAGGTCAGAAAAGAACCCTCTGGCCACACTTTGAAGCGGTTAGTAGGAAGACGGTATATCAATAAATCACTCTATTGTATTGTGATTTTGAATGCGATAATTTAAGCTAATTGTGACGGTAATAAGAAACTATACACTTGTGTGTATATTTTTGACCCAAAATACAAAAGAGAAGCCAAATTCTCCGTACTTAAAACATAATAAATGAGATAGCCAGTAACAATTTTACGAAATAACAGGAAGTAATATATTTTAAAAAAGGTCGTTAGAATACAGCATTGAATTAGATCACATTACAGTACCGTAACAGAAAAATATTAAATGTAAAAATATGAAACAAAATAATACATACTTTCCCAAACATGTGTAATACAAAAGGTATGAATTATTGTGATGACAGTCAAACTTCATTTTGAAGTATCAGTTTCAAGATTCAGTGGATGTAGATGGCTAAATTTCTAAATTAAATTATTTTATAATATTCTACCTACATATCACTAATATAGTTCTATTATAATAATTACATATTCTTAATAAAGTTATCAAAACATATTAGAGTGTCAATTACTAAACCTTGGTCAACTACTAATTTTTTTTTCATTTTGTTGTGTCAACTATTGACACTTTTGCAACAATTTTTGTAAATTTTATAAAAAATATTAGAAAGCACAATTGTCCAAAAATTTATTTGTTAAATATTCAGGAAGGATTAGATTACCTGAATATACATATATTTTTTCGTAAAGTTCAACAGCATCAGTTTGAGGCTAAATAATAGTTTTTTTTTTCTTTTTATAATGTCAACTACTAATACATTTACCTTAAAAGTGTCTAAAAAATGTACCTAAAAAATTCTAAATGTTTACTTCATGCGTTTGGAAGATTTATGAAATGCACATTGGTATTTTACTCTATGGAAAAACTTTATCACTGGTTTGCAAGTCAATGTAGCATCTTGTTAACTTATCATAGTTTTATAAGGCATGTATATCTTTCTTGTAACTCTAGTTGGCTCTACTGACTCTTTACCTTGAAGTTGAAGGTTTGTGAAGATGCTTGAATTTTATATTCACTTTTTTTGTTGTTTACTTTATTATGTAAAATAGTTTTTCTACTCTCTTATTAGTAAATTGTATATTACCTACTATTTGGATGCTAAGTAAATGCATCATAACAGATACTGACACGTAATGACTAGCACGTAATAAAAAAAATTACGCTTCAGTTTTATAAAAATGTGTAATATCACATAAGCCTCGTAAGTCAGTTGGTCGAGTTACCATGGAAACGAATTAACAGACGTTATTTTGACATATTAAAAATTATTAATCTGTCAGTGTAAATATAGTGGCAATTTAATGTTTATTTTTATAAACGAAAATAATCGTAGAAAAAGTATAGTACACAACTTGAGTTGTAAGCTTAGTAATTTTACAAGCATGTAATAAGCTTCTTACAACTCTCGTTATGTAATATACTATTTTCTACTCTCTTACTAGTAAATTGTATATTACCTACTATTTGGATGCTAAGTAAATGCATAATTACAGATACTAACACGTAATGACTAGCACGTAATAAAAAAAATTACGCTTCAGTTTTATAAAAATGTGTAATATCACATAAGCCTCGTAAGTCAGTTGGTCGAGTTACCATGGAAACGAATTAACAGACGTTATTTTGACAGATTAAAAATTATTAATCTGTCAGTGTAAATACAGTGGTAATTTAATTTTTATTTTTATAAACGAAAATAATGGTAGAAAAAGTATAGTACAAAACTTGAGTTGTAAGCTTATTACATGCTTGTAAAATTACTGCGCTCGCCGCTACACGGCTCTCGCGCAACTTTTTTACTCGCATGTAATAAGCTTCTTACAACTCTCGTTATGTAATATACTATTTAGTTTTACCATTTACAAGAGGTATAGGTAATCATATGAAATATCAATTTTTTATGCCATTTTACAGTTTTTCTGACATAAAGTCCATATGCAGCTATTTGGTCAGGAAAATCAATGAAAGCTTCTCCTTGATTGTACTCAGAGTCATAATTGCCTGTTTACTAACTTCGTTTTTCTCATGGAACTGATTGGGGACAAAAGAATTATTATGCTTTATACTTAATGCTAGAATATCACTTTTGTTTCTTGTTGATGTTCTTTCATTGTTTACTTTATTTCCTCTTGACTTGTTTCCAGTGCTTGTTTTGTTTCTTGTTGTAAAATCTTCTCTATTCTCAATTTCTCTTGTTTTTTTGTCTCCATAATTGTTGTTCTAAAATGTCTTGTTCAAATTTTTTCTTGTCTTTGGTTTTCTTTGCTTTTATTCCTTGTTCCATACATTGCATTTTTTCTTTCTACTCTTATCACTACTTTCTTTTAGCTAATCTTTTGTGCCCCTTTAAACAATACTACAAACAAAACACCGAAAGTGAGAGAAATAATACTACACGGTACAAAACGGAGGGATATAAATTGCGCCTTTTATTTCAACCAGGTATTAAACACATTTTCAATCTAGATTAGAAAAGGAACTAAATGAGACGAAAAGAAATATGGATGTAGAACAAGAATACAACAATCTCAAAACGATAATAAAAAAATTGCTTATGAAGTATTAGGAACAGAGAACAAGGACAAAAAACATCACGAACCACCACGGATGACAGAAAACGTAAAAGAAATTATACAAGAAAAAAACAAATATAAGAAATGGCTAAAAAATAAAACATCTAGCAATAGAGTAACATACCAAAGAAAAAACGGAGAAGTACGCAATCAAAAAAGCAAAAAAAATTTAATTGGTGGTTCTCAGACTACGGAAGCATGGAGAACTAATCTAAAGAAAAACACCCATAACTCCTTAAGCAACTTAATTCCTATAGAAAAGTGGGAAAATCACTATAACAATTTACTCCAAGAGTCTAGATTGGAATATATGGGAGAGTAATACAGTATGGAGAGACAAACAAACATTAATACTACTAACGTTAATAATACTATTAACATTAATACTACTAAACAACGAGGTCCGTACTGGGTTAATTAAAATGAAACACGGGCGATCTCCAGGACCTGGCAATGTAGCTGTAAAGTTACTTAAAGCAGGAGGTACCTTCCTAATAGAACGAATAACTTTTGTAATGAATCAGTGCTGCCAACAAATTAAAGTACGATCCGAATGAAAAACCGCTCACCAAGTAAAAAGGGTAATCGAAAAGATCCTAACTGCTACAGAGGATTAACTGTCCTACCTACTTTCCGGAGAGTGTTTGAAAAGATAATAAATGGAAAAATACAAGATGATGTGTGACATCTAATTAGCGAAGAGCAAAGTGGATTTACGCCTGATAGATCTTGCACCGATAACTTGTTTATACTCCAACAATTAATAGAAAAAAGAATAGCGGTTGATACCGAAGTACATCTAACCTTCATCGACATAGAAAAGGCGTATGATACAGTTCCAAGACTTAAATTGTGGCAAGCTTTACAACAACTCGGCATTAGTCCATACCTTTAAGGAATAATCACCGAAGTATACAGGGATAACACTACGTATCTAAAAAAAAATCGGAAATAGGCTATCAGAGCCAATAAAAGTAACTAAAAGCTGCTAAAAGACTAAGACAAGGATGCTGTATGTCACCCTTAATGTTTAATTTATATTTAGGCAGCCCTTTAAAATTGGAAAAAACCACTGCCAGGGAATGGGAATCCCCATAGGAAAGGACGTACTGTTCTACCTGAACTTTGCGGATGACCAAGTCGTCCTAGCTCAAGATTCTTATGATCTAGAATTTATGATAAAGCGTCTATACAGAGAATATGTAAAATGGTGGTCGCAAGTCAGCATGAAGAAAACAGAATATTTAGTTATCAATTCAGATGCAAGGTTTGAAATGTTGATAGACGAGGACGTGGAAATCAAACTAGTGGAAAAATTTAAATATTTAGATGCACTCATTGATAAGAACGGCTTGGGAGAAACCGAAATTAAACACCGTATTAATCAGGAACGTAAAATTGTAGGATGTCTGAATTCCTTATGGTGGGATCACAAAATTTCCTAAAGGAACAAAAAAAGAAAAGGCAAACCATGGTTGAATCAGTTCTTTGTTATTGAACTGGCTCTAAAGTATGAACAATTAATGCAGACCTGAAGAGAAGACTGTTGGCAGTTGAAATGGATTATTTGAGAAGAAGTGCTAGAACATCAAGGCTGGAAAGGAAGACCAACGAATCTATAAGAAATAACATGAATGCTACAGAAACGGTCATTGACAAAATAGAAAGAAGAGGTTTGAAATGGTTTGGACACCTATTGAGAATGCCTGACGAACGTTGGCCCCAAAAACTTCACAGATGGAAACCCCCTGGAAGAAAAAAAAAAGAGGTAGACCTCGATGCTCATGGAATGAAGGAATTAGAAGAGCGATGGAATCGAGAGGTTTGGAGGAGGAGCTTGCCTTGGACCGGGAGGATTGGCGAAGGAGAACGGGAATACGGCGACAGCCGTGGGTAAAGAACAATAGACCCAACTGTATATAACCGCTTTTTGTAAATCAAGGTTAACTGCGTACCTATGTAGTTTTATTTTTCGTATTTTTGATAGAAATAGTTTAATTATGTAGAAGTTTGTTTTATTTCCTGTTGTGTATATGTTTAGGCAATTTAAAAAAGTTAGTTTGAACTTATGAGATTTATTTTTTCTGTTACCTTTTTATAGAAGGTTTATATATATATATCATATATAGTATATATATATATATATAATATATATATATATATATATATAAATGATCTGATTATTCGTGCTGTTGAATTATCCGTGCCACGTCCGGACTTGGAGCACGGATAATCGGAGTTCTACTGTATAACTTTTGAATAAGATCTGTTTAGGTTTGAATTAATAAAATAATATCTGTTTTTAGATGATATGCAAATCTACACGGAGGCAACAAAATCCGAAGGAGTTCCCAATCCTGGAATAAATTCTCCAGATTCTTACTTCGATCGTGAGAAAACGTTGGTTTTAATTGAACTGTTTAAGAAGTACAAACCAGTGATGACCAAAGGTGATATAAAAACTATGAAAGAAATGTGGGATGTAATTGCCAATGATATGTCCAATCAATTTGAAAAACCAATTACTGGTTCTAAATGTAAAAATAAATTTAAAGTGTTGGAAAGGGGTTACAAAAAGATGATAAATGATAATGAAATCGGAAAACGGCGAAAGAAAAATTTTCCTTACGCAAAAGAGTTTAAAGATATTCAACCAAGAAAATACGAATTTGTACCTGGACTTGTTCACCCGTACACAAATATTCCAAATACAAATACTGAAAAGAACGATACATCTTCAACTGAAAGTGCGACAGAAGTTGGGGCGGAAGTTACCTACACAGAATCTTTATACATTAGTGAAGAGAATTATGTGCCTCAGAATCATATTGAAGTTTGTCAAACTGATTATGTTAACGGTACTACTCAGGAAGTTGAACCAGCTGAAATTACGATACAAACAACACCTCCCTTACCTGTCGAATGTACCGTTGTCAATCAAAATCGTCAATCAGAATTACATTGGCCAGAAGACAATTACTTCAGTAAAGATCGAACTTTGACATTAATTAGTTTATATAAGATATTCTCCCCTAAAGTAGCTATGGGAGCAATGAAAACGAAGCGGGAAATGTGGGATACAATAGCTAAACAAATGTCAGAACACTATAATATAACAATTACAAGCGCTAAATGTGAAAATCGTTTTAAAGTATTAGAAAGAAATTTCAGACAGTTAGAAATACATAACACACAACCTGATAATCTTCCTAAAACATACGAATATGAGGCAGAACTTAGAGAAATTTTTGGGGACAGATTTAAAAACCAAGTGAAAGAAAAGATTGTTGAAAAACAAGAGCCATCTACATCTGCTGAGACAATAGACATAAATCAGCAACCATACACTATACGATTAGTTGAAACACAACCGATACCTATAGAGTTACAGCACCCAGACAGACTTGAACGAATTTTATTAGGTATAAGAAGTGACCTTCAGTACTATCAGAATGAAAGGTTGAAAGTTGAGTGGAGAAAATTAGCAGTTGAAGAAGAGAAATTAAAACTTAACAAAAGAAAGTTAAAATTACTTGAAGATCAAAAAAGAGCTGACTCTTAATATTAATAAAGTAAAGTGGTTTTTGGTTTCTATTTTAAAATATAGGAAACCACTAGGACAAAAAAATATATAAACTTTTGCGCGAACTGTAAATTATTGTTTTCCAGTATTTATTGAAGGTAGCTAAAATTGTAATAAATCTTCACCTTCCAAATATCTGAATTAATAGATACAGATTATTTTATATCAACAGATCAACATACTTTAAGCATCTTAGTGAGATCTAATGATGGATCTAATGAACGACTCAATTATTTTGGAGACTGCTGCTTGCACGATTTATATAAATTTTGGTTTGTTAGTTTTGTGATATACTCTTTTTTTTATTTACTAATAATAGTCGCTTCAACCACCTGGGTCATTAGCGACATTAGTTTACATTAGTTACTACATTATATTAAATTATATAAAGATGTTTCTTTTAGAAATCTAATTAAGTTTTTAGTATTTAAATGTTCATCTAATACTGTTTTTAAGTCACTGGAAATATTGTTATTTTGTCTGTTAACTGTATATTTTCCACATTCTGTTATTAGATTGACTTGACAGTAATCACACACTGGAATGTTTTCTTTACTTATTAGGTGCTTATGAGTAATATTGGTATGACATAATCGAAGTCGAGAAATTTTGACTTGGTCAGCTCTTTTTAAGTTTACTAGGCGCCACGGTTTCACTGTCGATTTAATTTCTTTTAATTTAGATTCCGATAAGTTCCACTTATTTTGCCACGTACTAATCACTTTTTCTTTAACGAACTGTTTTACTGCAGATAGTCTTTTACACTATTATAGCTTGATCATTTTTGGTAGCTTCTCTTGCTTGGAGGTCTGCGTTTTCATTACCTTGTATTCCCGTGCGAGATGGAACCCACATAAATTTGACTTCTGAACCAGATTCTTGTAAGGCAGCAAGTTCTTTCTTGACAAGTAAGGCTATAGGGTTCTTAGTATATAGTTGACCGATTGTTGTTAAGGAGTTTAGAGAATCTGTGATAATGACGGAAGAAGAATGGTTTGTACTTTTGATATGAATGAGGGCTTGTAATATTGCATATAATTCTGCTGTGTATATAGAAGTGGCTGGCATTAATTTAAATTGAGAAGAGGAATATGGAGTGACAAATGCTGCTCCTACGTCATTTGCAGATTTGGAGGCATCTGTATAAATGCAAAAGCTTTTCCCGTAAGTCTCGAGTTCCTTTAAACATGACTGTTTGATTACAGTGGGTGATGTATCTGATTTGTTATATTGGAGTAGCGTCGTATTGATTTCGGGAATCATGATTAACCAGGGAGGTTGAGTTTTTACATTTGAAGGAAAGAGGTCAGAAATTTGGAGTTGTAGATCTTTTAAATTTCTTCGAACTCTTTCGTAGAATGACGTAACGGTCCGTAAATGCATTTTGAAATACTGGGTGGAATTTGTTGCTGGCGACTGATGCTGCATACGAAAGGCATAAATAATTTCTTCGTAGATTAAGAGGTGGCTCTACTGTGAGGCATTGGAGATTCTTAACTGGTGTGGTTCTAAATGCACCTATGGCAATGCGAAGTGCTGTGTTCTGAATGACTTCAAGTTGCTTGGTAACATGTTTTTTAGCGGAGGCATACACAATAGCCCCATAATCTATTTTTGATCGAACGAGTGACATAAATATTTAATAACGTGGTTTCGTCGGATCCCCATTTTTTATTTGATAATGTTTTCATTACATTTAATCCATTTTGGCAAGATTTTTTTATTTCTAAAATATGTTGTTTCCATGTTAGTTTTTGGTCAAATACCATTCCGAGAAAATTAATTTTTTCTGAGAATTTGAGCGGCTCGCCATACAGTTTTAAAGCTGTTCTCTGTGGCCAGTGCCTTCTTGAGAAAAGCATGCATTTTGTTTTTAGTGGGGAGAATTGCACGCCTACTGACATTGATCATATCTCTAATTTATAAATAGATTCTTGTAAGTGTTTTTGAATCATTCTCATATTCTTGCCCTTTGCAAATAGAACCAGACCGTCGGCATATAGTCTTCCCTTAACTAGCGGGGAGCAGTGATCCATTATATCGTTGATAGCCACGAGAAAAAGAGTTGGGCTCATAACTGACCCCTGAGGTGTTCCGTTTTTCTGATTTTTTTTTATGAAGTGGAATTATCGGCGCGAACAGAGAAAGCTCTTGACTGAAGAAAGTTTTCTATGAATCTTAGCATATTACCACTGATTCTCCATTTGTGTAATTTTGATATAATATTAATCTCCAAACCGTGTCGTATGCCGTGGTGATATCGAAGAATACCGCGATGGTCTCTTGATTATTTGCAAAATCTTCGTGTATCTCTGACTCTAAATCTACTAAGTTGTCTACGCATGATCTATTTTTTGCTAGTTTAAAGTTTTTCTTGTTCTAAGTACCACAACAGTCTTTTGGTTATAATTTTTTCTAGAACTTTGCATGCTACATTAGTGAGTGATATAGGACGGTACGAGTCTATATTTGTTCTGTCTTTGTTGGGTTTGATCAGAGGAATTATAATGCTGTCTGACCATACAGATGGAAAAACCTGATTTGTCCAAATAAAATTGTACAATTTTAATAGCCAAGACCTTCCATTTTCTGGTAGGTTTAACAAAAAAATTAATGGTAAACCGTCTGGACCTGGAGCGGAATTTTTACTTGACATTAGTCATATACTCTACTAATGATCTTATAGTGGTATTTACATTGTCAGATTATCCGTTTTCCTGGAATTATACTTAACTTTTTTATTAATACTAAATATTTTTCATATTATAATATTCTTTATACATAAATGCGACAATTTCCAAGTTATAGCTAAATGTGTATTAATTCTGTCCAAGTTAAAATAATACAATAGCATGGCTATGGTTGCAAGAAATTTGGAACACTTCGTCGTTATTAATTTTAGGAAATTAGTTATCCTTTATAAAAAGTTCTGCGTGGTCTTAAATCTAAAATAAAACCGTCAGGTATTAATTTTTTTCGGTTTAATATGAGTTGTGTCAAATATGTGAAATACTCTTTATAGTAAAGTAGTTTTATTTTTTGGTACACCAAAAAAGTTTTTAAAAGTATTGACCAGAATGACCCTGTTGGGAACACCAATTTTAACGGGTAACTGACAAGTGATTTAGGTACTAAAGTTATATGCAAACATATAGTTTTGCTTCTAAAATATGGTTGAGGTTTTTTTGTTATGTGTTATGTCTAAGAAGCAGAAATCTCCACTGTTTCTAGAGTTTCGTGTGAGGTATGCGCAAAATTTCGGGCCAATGCTTTTTAAATGCATTCATTTTTTTTTTCGAATCTTCAGAAAACTAATAAATATTTTTGAAAAATTTAAACGCAGAATGAAAGAATACATTATTACCGAGGGCCAAAAGTCCCTGAAAACTTTTATAATGTTTATAAAATGTTATATATGTTTTTATGGCGTTTTAAAGTAATTACTATTTAAATGGGAATAAGCCACAATTAAAGGTTAAGCTACGTTTATTGGCGTTTCAATTTCCACTTCAGAAATCGTTCTCAAAAAACAAACATTAGTAAATTTTATTTACTAATTTTATTACCAATCATTGAAACATTTTTTTTTCTAATTTAACGAAAGAATGATAAGCTTATTATAATGGTAACATCAGATGATAATACATGATTTCTCTGTTCTACTGATATGCCACCTGAGATGCAACAAGCGGTTTCCTCTTACGCATTTTAAATTTTTTTTTAACAAATGAGATGATCAAAGATATAGTTTATCAAACTATATTATATTCAGTGGAAAGAAGACCTCAAAAACTTTTAAGACTTTCTGAAAATGAGCTCTTAGGAACCTGTATTTATATGTTAATAGTGCAATTGTCAAACGCTAGAAATTATTGGAACTCAACTCCAGCTTGAATCATCGATTGATCTCAGATGACATGTCATGCAATAGATGGGAAGAAATATAACATTTTTTTACATTTTGCGAACAACAACGATGCTATTACTGCCGGTAATCTTATCTGTTATTACATGGTATGACAACATGTTAGTAAACATTTTATCAACATATGTTAGAAGTAAACAAGAAAAGAAGGGGTCCAGCAACCGATATTCCAATGCAAAATGTACAAACAGATGGATATGGTCATCTTCAATTATGGTGTAGTGAAAGGCAAAAATCCCTGTGGTTCAAAAGCTTCACAAAGTGCGAGAAGTGTAATGTTTTTTTGCCTAAAGAAAGATAGAAATTGTTTTTATAATTTTTACGCTGAATAATTATTATAATTACATTACATAACAGTGTACATTACAGAACAATGGGATCACTCACAGGAAATAAAATGTAGAATAGAGAAGGCTAGGAGTGCATTCAATAACATGGCCAAACTCTTTAAAAGCCACAATCTTAATCTGGAGATAAAAGTAAGGCTCCTACGATGTTATATCTTCTCAATATTGTATTACGGAGTTGAATCCTGGACACTAACTGAAGCAATGGAGAAAAAACTTGAAGCCCTCGAGATGTGGCTATACAGGCGAATTCTAAGGATATCATGGACAGACAAGATAACCAACGAGACCGTATTACGAAGAGTGGGCAAAGAAAGAGAGGTGATGTATACCATTAAAAGGAGAAAGTTGGAATATCTCTGACATATAATGAGAAACAGCACTAAAGCGAGGAATTGGGTGAAGGAGAATATCATGGTTGAAGAACCTGAGGAAATGGTTCTCCACAACAACAACGAATCTATTTAAAGCATCAATTAATAAAATAATTATAGCCAGAATGATTGCCAATATTCGGAACGAATAGGCACTGAAAGAAGAAGACACAACAGTAATAAACGTCATTTTTTTTTATTAATTTTACTTGTTGAATCTTTTTTTTTAATGCATAGTGTGTCATATATGACACACAAAAAAAATAACCAAGTAGAATTTTTTATATTTTTACCGTAATCTTGAAGTCAAGTTTGTAATCATAGATTTTTTTTATAAAAAATAAAAAAATCATGCAGTAAGGGGTTAAAATTTCATTTGCGTATAATATATTGATATAATTAATACATTAATTAAAATAACTGTAACGCTTCATTTTGAACTATGGAAAAATAATGACTTAATCGTTACGAATGAAGAGTATTATTTACATAGAAAGTATTGGAAAATCGAAAAA